TTTGGTCAGATATTAAGACTGCTATCCCAACTTTCTTTTGGTTTACATTAGTCATTTATTTTAAATCTTTATGGTAACTAAATGATGGGTAGTGGTTCTAAAATGTTTTGATTCTAGGACCACTCTGTGCTCTTAAATTTCTAAGGACCTCAAAGAGCTTATGGTGATGTGGGTTACATCTATTGACATTTATCTTATTAGAAAGTTAAACTGATAAAAATCTTAAAATATTAATTAATTTATTTAAAAACAACTGTAATAAACTCACTATATTTTAACAGAACATTTTTATGAAAAATAACTACATCCCCCCCAAATTAATGAGAATAGTAGATTGTTTTGCATTTTTGCTTTAATAACTGGCTTAAATGAAAAAAAAGTATATATCTGGCTTAAATGTAAAGATTAAAATTCTCATGTCTGCTTCTGCATTCAGTCTGTTGCAATATCTCACATCAAGTAGCCCCCGCATACTTGTACAGTAAAAGAGAATGAAAATGGGAAAAGCAAATAATATATTAGTAATATTCCAAAAATAATCTTGGTGTCACAGACTCATTGATACAGTTTGGGGCTCTCTGAGAGTTCCTGGGCCACTCTGGGGGACACTGTATCTAAAGAAATCTCTCCTAAGTAGGTATTTATAACCACATACCTAAATTTATAACATGAATCTTATTTCTTTCTTATAGTAGATTAGTTTATACAATTATGTTAAATTCTCCATTTATTCATTTATCAGCTAATATTTATTGAGCAAACAATATGTGCCAGACACTCTTCAACATAATGGAGATAAAGCAGTGAAAACAGTAAATGTGACCCTGCTTTCACAGAGTTGATGTTCTAGTGGAGAGACAGATGATATGTAGAATCTAGGGAATACATATGTATGCACACACACACACACACACACACACACACACACACACACACACACACACATTCAGTAGGAATGACCGCTATGCATGACAAGGGGGTCAAGAGTGATGGCAGGAGTGGGCCAGGATGTGACTGTGTTTAAATAAAGTGTTCAGGAAAAGCCTCTCTGGGGAGATGTCATTTGATCAGAAATTCTGAATGAAGAGAGATAACCAATAGGGGGCACAGAGCCATTGGAGTAAAACGGATGCCTCTGTTTCTTTGGCCACTTCAGTTAATTTAGCGGAGGACCAGTGGGTTAGAGTAGACCAAGAATGGGGGGACCATTTTACAGAAAAGCCCAGAAGCTGTAAAGGTCCTAAGAAGAAAGAGGCAAGAATCTTTAAGACTGTCGTGGGGCAGAAGGGACAGGGAGAAAGGTTTCAGAAAAATGTGTTGAAAAGTCTTTTAACCTCCACATTACATAGTGTTATTTTCACGTTAGTTCTAAGGTGATGTTTTGTCTACCTTCCCCATAGATCAGTAAGAAGACTCAGACTTTTACCTTCTCCATCAGCCAAACTGTGTTGGTCACCAACCTAAAACCAGCAGCTGTCACAGTCTATGACTACTACCTACCAGGTGAGGGCTGAGACTTCCCTGCATGTCCCAACATATTTCTGCCTCATTCTTCATGACGTCTCTCTTAACTTTACAAATACTCCTTCCCAGTCCAAGTTGCACGTAATTACATTATCTGATCTCCTAAAACATTTTAATTCATATGTCTTTATAAGAAGTCATCTGCATTAGAGATATTCCATATGATGTGGTCCATAGACCAACAGAACAATGTGGACCATTGTTCATTAATGGCTAACTATTCATATTTTTGCTGTCATTAATAATTTACCATGAATATGCAAACATTAGTGGTTGGAACCTTCCTGTGATGCTGAATGTACTCATAATCTGTAGCGATCCTCTACAAAGGCTAAAGCAGTATGAGGCATTTTCTCTCTGAATGTATAAGGACTGCAATATAATAATATATTATCTAATTTTACAGATGAACAGGCAACAGTTCAGTATTCTGATATCTGTGAATGAGGTAAGCCCAGAAGAGAAAAGACCTTTGGAGTAAGGTTGTTGTATTCAGAAATTAAAGGGACCTTCTCCTGAGTTACTGTTATTGTCTTTTGGAAGCATACTTTTGATAGAAAATGGTTTTTCCTTTTTTGTCCTAAATTCTTGAAGAGAGAATAATAATCTCCCTAGTTCAGTTAAGAGAAGCTATTATAATAGTGGAATTTGTATGAGGGGTTCTATGTGATTTTTACAAACAGTTTTCTCTGATTTGAAAATTGGTGCATTTTCCTAATTATTTTTACATTGCATATCTTTGTTATATAAAATACACAGACAAAAGTAAAGATTACC